TTTTTTCCAGAGTGGTTGTACTAGTCTACATTCCCACCAACAGTGTAAGAGGGTTCCTTTTTCCCCGCATCCTCGCCAACACCTGTTTGGTGGTGTTGCTGATGATGGCTATTCTAACAGGGGTGAGGTGGAATCTTAGTGTGGTTTTAATTTGCATTTCCTTTATTGCTAGAGATGGTGAGCATTTTTTCATGTGTTTTCTGGCCATTTGAATTTCTTCTTTTGAGAAAGTTCTGTTTAGTTCACTGCCCATTTCTTTATTGGTTCATTAGTTTTGGGAGAATTTAGTTTTTTAAGTTCCCTGTATATTCTGGTTATCAGTCCTTTGTCTGATGTATAGTTGGCAAATATTTTCTCCCACTCTGTGGGTGTTCTCTTCAGTTTAGAGACCATTTCTTTTGATGAACAGAAGCTTTTTAGTTTTATGAGGTCCCATTTATCTATGCTATCTCTTAGTTGCTGTGCTGCTGGGGTTTCATTGAGAAAGTTCTTACCTATACCTACTAACTCCAGAGTATTTCCTACTCTTTCTTGTATCAACTTAAGAGTTTGGGGTCTGATATTAAGATCCTTGATCCATTTTGAGTTAATCTTGGTATAGGGTGATATACATGGATCTAGTTTCAGTTTTTTGCAGACTGCTAACCAGTTTTCCCAGCAGTTTTTGTTGAAGAGGCTGCTATTTCTCCATCGTATATTTTTAGCTCCTTTGTCAAAGATAAGTTGCTTATAGTTGTGTGGCTTCATATCTGGATCCTCTATTCTGTTCCACTGGTCTTCATGTCTGTTTTTGTGCCAGTACCATGCTGTTTTTATTGTTATTGCTTTGTAATATAGTTTGAAGTCAGGTATTGTGATACCTCCTGCATTGTTCTTTTGACTGAGTATTGCCTTGGCTATTCGTGGCCTCTTGTGTTTCCATATAAATTTCAACAGTAGATTTTTCAATCTCTTTAATGAATGTCATTGGAATTTTGATGGGAATTGCATTAAACATGTAGATTACTTTGGGGAGTATCGACATTTTTACTATGTTGATTCTACCAATCCATGAGCATGGGAGATCTCTCCACTTTCTATAGTCTTCCTCAATCTCTTTCTTCAGAAGTGTATAGTTTTCCTTGTAGAGGTCTTTCACATCTTTTGTTAGGTTTACACCTAGGTATTTGATTTTTTTTGAGGCTATTGTAAATGGAATTGTTTTCATACATTCTTTTTCAGTTTGCTCATTGTTAGTGTATAGAAATGCTAATGATTTTTCTATGTTGATTTTATATCCTGCTACCTTGCTATAGCTATTGATGATGTCTAGAAGCTTCTGAGTAGAGTTTTTTGGGTCTTTAAGGTATAGGATCATGTCGTCTGCAAATAGGGATATTTTGACAGTTTCTTTACCTATTTGTATTCCTTTTATTCCTTCTTCTTGCCTAATTGCTCTGGCTAGGAATTCCAGTACTATGTTGAATAGGAGTGGAGATAGTGGGCATCCTTGTCTGGTTCCTGATTTTAGAGGGAATGGTTTCAGTTTTTCTCCGTTAAGTATAATGCTGGCTGTAGGTTTGTCATATATAGCTTTTATAATGTTGAGGAACTTTCCTTCTATTCCTAGTTTTCTTAGAGCTTTTATCATGAAATGATGTTGGATCTTATCAAAGGCTTTTTCTGCATCTATTGAGATGATCAAGTGGTTTTGTCTTTGCTTCTGTTAATGTGGTTTATTACGTTTATTGATTTTCGTATGTTGAACCACCCACCACTGCATCCCTGGGATGAAGCCTACCTGGTCGTGGTGAATAATCTTTTGATGTGTTGCTGAATCGATTTGCCATTATTTTGTTGAGGATTTTTGCATCAATGTTCATTAAGGAGATTGGCCTATAGTTCTCCTTTTTGGAGGTGTCTTTGCCTGGTTTTGGGATAAGTGTAATACTGGCTTCATAAAATGTGTTAGGCAGTTTTCCTTCCCTTTCTATTTCATGGAACAGTTTAAGGAGGGTTGGTATCAGTTCTTCTTTAAAGGTCTGATAGAATTCAGCAGAGAATCCATCAGGTCCTGGACTTTTCTTTTTGGGGAGACTCTTGATTGCTGCTTCAATTTCATTTTGTGTTATAGGTCTATTCAGGTGATTAATTTCCTCTTGGTTCAGTTTTGGATGATCATATGTATCTAGAAATCTGTCCATTTCTTTTAGCTTTTCAAATTTATTTGAATATAGGTTCTCAAAGTAGTCTCTGATGATTTCCTGGACTTCCATGGTGTTTGTTGTTATCTCTCCTTTTGCATTCCTAATTCTACTAATTTGGGTTTTTTTCTCTCCTCATTTTAGTCAGGTTTGCCAGGGGTCTATCGATCTTGTTTATTTTTTCAAAGAACCAACTTTTTGTTTCATTAATTCTTTGTATGGTTTTTTTGGTTTCTATTTCGTTGATTTCCACGCTGCAAATCTTGATTGCAGTGGGTGCGTGATGCAGGCTGTTGTGGATGGCTAAAGAAGGGATGATTTATTTCCCTAAAGTGTTGATCCAGGATTACTGTCAGGCTGGAAGGAGGGTCTCCAGCAGTGTCCCCATGGCCCTGCTTTGGACTGTCTTCTCTTCAACATTTCTATCTGCAAATTGGCAGAAGACTCAGAAGACAAGCTCATCAAACATGCAGCTGACATGGAGTTGTCAGGGACAGCTAATGCCATGGATGACAGGCTCAAGATCCACTGTGTGATCCTCACAGGCTGGAAATAGGTTGAGAGCAGCAATATCCCCGATTGCATTCAGCTGGGGGAACAAAGCCTAACCGGGGTGCTGGGAGATCTAACGGGATAATTATCCAGAAAGGAAGCCTGGGCTGAGGTGAGCCAGAGGAGTGAGTGAGGGCAGCTAGACCAGCCTTGTTCCTATACCAGCCTCTTCTCCAGCATGGTGACCAGGTTCTTGGCCTTTCAGGGTCACTCTTCCCATCTGTGAAGTGGGGGTACATAATGCCCAGATGTGTGGACAGGATCAATTGTGAGTGTGAGTGAGGATTCCTGGCTTTTCCTCTGGCTTGTGGTTGACTCAAGACAAATGTCCCGGTGTGGCCTTTGAGGGCACATGGAAGGTTCACACTCAGGGTGGACCTCTCTGTTCTTGGCACAGGTGTTGACCCCTCTTGGAATGCTAGATTTCTAAGAGCCTCATTGTCCCCTGTGATGTGTCAATGGAGAATGACCAGGAAGGGTCAGGGTCTGGAACTGTCCTGCAAGAGCCATTGTGAATCTGGAATGGAAAGAAAGAGGGTTTGTTTGCAATGAGAGAACACAAGTGTCTTGTCAGACACCTCAGGGCTGCAGGTGGAAGCAGAGAAGGTGTCTTCTGTGTTGCTCCAGGTGCCAACAGCAGTACAGTGAGGGGTTGTGCAAAGGTGCCTAGGGGTGCATAACAGATCTCAGCACTGATGATAACGCTAAGTCATTTCCATGTGCTTTGCTGTCTTGCTGTGAGCCAGGCTCGTGCTGAGTGTTTTGCATAACTTATAGCATCCTCACAGTCTAACCCTGAGAGGTGAGTGCTTCCTCCACCTGACAGATGAGACAAACATGGTTCAGATGGCAACTGCCACAAGGCATAGTTGGGATTCACTCTGAGCACCTAGTCCCTCTTCACCTGTGTGGCCCTGGATTGGGGGCAGTAGGAGTTCCCTGACCCTGAGAAAAGACAGGGAACTCAAATCCCCATGGGTCTTTTAGAAACTGCTTTTCTGTTCCTTGGAGCTGGTACTTTAAAGGATTCAGTGGCAAGTCTTTTGTGTGTGTATGTATATAACATTTATTAAAAAAAAACAAAAAACAGAACCCAAATACAGACACAAGGAGAGTGAATAGTATGTAGTGTGTGATGACCTCACCAGTTTATCTCCAGCTTTCAAGATGATGGACACAGGCAGCATACAACTTGGTTTCATTCAACTATTACGCCTCCTTCTTCCCTCCCCATGCTGGATTAATTTTAAAGGAAACTCTAGACATAATTCGATCTCTAAATACTTCAGCATGTAGCTCTGAGAGATAAGGACTCCTTTTTGTTATTGTTGTTGTTTACCTGTAACCACAGTACCATTATCACAGTTTTGAAAATTAGCGTCTTTGTAGTGAGTCTTTTTAATTCAGAAAAGCTACTAGCTACAGCTTGCTTCAAGCATTAGGTTCCTGGGACTTGAGACTCACCTGTTCCTTTGGAGGAGGAAGTGGAGGAGAAGGAGGAAAAGGAGGGGAGGAAAAAGAGGAGCAGGATGAGGATGATGAGGAGGAAGTAGGAAGGAGATCTGAAACTTGGGGCCATGGATTGGCAACCTCTTTATTCTGATTGTTCCCTAGGGCACAGCAGTGAGAGTGGGGACTATTTATAGCCCAAAGTCTAGACATGGGAAGGAGGCAAACGGAAGGGAATAAGTGAGAGAGCAGGGGAGAGGGGGAGAAAAGAGAGTGGAGGAAAAGAGAAAATGAAGAGTAGGAACCAGCACTGCCTCATGCACAGCCCTGCTGGCCTCCATAGGACACGCTAGTGAGTTCTCACAGCTTCAACACATTCTCCCAGCCATGCCCCAAGGCTTGTGCTGCTACATTTTACAGTGGAGGACCCTGAGGTTCCAGGGTCTGGTATAACATAAGCTGGGGTGCCTGGGTTCAAACTTAAGTCTGTTTGGCTGGAGTCTGCTGGCTCCCAGCACCACTCTCTGCCTCCAAAACTGAGGAGAATACTGCAGGGAGAGGTTTAGGGGGGCACAGGAGCTTCTGGGGTTAGTGTATCAATATACCCTCTATGTGTCTTTGTCTTTGATATGGAGTTCTCACCATTCTCCAAGTGTCCTGGTTACCCAGCTCCTGCCCCAGGACCTCTGGGTCCCAGAAGGACCCAGAAACTAAAGAATTCTTATAGGGCACAATGGGAAGCCTCTTTGAATGGATCCTGAGCCCACTCTGGCAGACTTGTCAAGTGAGGGGTTACTCCCTGAGTAACAGGGAGAGATGGAAGCTCTCAGCACTGCATCCCACCTGGTGGTGTTGAGTCTTTTGGAAGTCCACTGTGTGCCCATTTTTTCTCATGAGAAGGCAACTGGTTCCTCTCATCAGAAATGTGTTTTCATCAGGTTGTGCTTCCAAACCCACTTTTCCTGAGGCCTGTGTCCTCTTGCAGAGCCCCCTTTGGTGAGTGGGCATTTATGCTACCTGTCTCTGACCTGTTTGCAGAACTGTGGAGCTGAGCAGTGGCAAGGATGAGATCTCCCTGCTGGTGGAGCAGGAGTTTTTGAGCCTCACAAAAGAACACCTCATCCTGGTCCAAGAGAGCTCTGGGGAGCTGGAGGCACCTACTGGCACTCCCCAGGGGACCAGAGAGCCAGCTCCCTGCTTTTTTGCACCCCCTCTGGTGGTGGGCAGCCGTGAGCACCCAGGAACTTCCATGGTTGCTGGTGACCAGCATCGGGAGCAAAAGGTAGCTGTGGCTGTCATTGGCAGCCAGCAGGGCTGCGATTCTGTCATGCCCACAGTCACGGGCATCCTGAGGGCTGCCAAGGTCAAAAGTGCCAAGGGGACCAAGGACCAGGGCCACAGTCTGAGTGCCTCCAATACAGAGTTCAGCAAGCTTCTGGCCCAGTTCCCACTGAAGTCCACTCCAACATCCAAGGCCCCTGACAACAAGACAGTGCTGGAGGAGTCGAGGGTCATCAAGAACTTCCTGAAAAGCAGCATGCTCAGTGGCTCTGGGCCCCAGGAGGCTGCAGGGTTGGGCCCATTCCTGCTGCTGCCACCCCCACCTTCTCCTGCATCCCTGGACAAGGCCACTGAGCTCTCTGCTCACAAGAGGCAGCTCCCGGTGTTTGCCAAGATCTGCTCCAAGACTGAGGTTGACACCACAGTGGAAGGGCACCATTCAGTGGGTGAGTGGAGCTGGGAACAGGGCAGGAGAAGGGGCCAGGAGAGGAATTCATTTGGCAGTGGGGATCATTTAATTTCTGATAAAACACCTGTTCTGGACACTAAGTCCAGCCCTCTCTCTCTCTGGGGCAGGAGGAGGATGTGGAGGTTATCCAAGAACAGTTGGTCCTGGAAGTTGTTTTGTGGGACTCCAGGGACTTAGAAAAGTGCATTGCCATCCCCTAATTGAGGAGTCCATATCCAGCCACCTCTCAAGTCTTCCCCACTCCTTCCCCAGAATTCTGCATTTTGTTCTGATCCAGTCACTCAGTCTGAGCAGCTCCAAGAAGGCAGACTGATGACAGTGACATTTGTCCACAGTCAGCAACCACGAGGAGAGCAGATCACCCTCATGCCAGCCAAAAGAAGAATCACCCCCAGGGGTTATGGGCATGGGTGGATAGTTGAGAGGTGCCTGTATCAGGGGAGCCCTCAGAAACAAGATCAAGGTCATCCCCAAGAACTTTCTGTATTGTAGAGCATTAGAGGGAACCCAGGGAATCAGGGCTGGGGACAGACAGTGAGCTGGACTCAGTGCTAGGCAAGCTGGAAGAGGTATGAGGGCCTTGGGATGATGGGCTGTATTTGGGAGAGGGCCAAATTAACTCCCCAGAGGGAGGGGGCCTCCCTCCTTCCTCTTCTCCTGAAGGGACCATCTGTGCCCCTTGCTTATGACACTGCTAGGTTGGAAGTGTCCTGCCCACTCCGCCTCTCCATCATCTGTGAGTGTCTTTGTGTACAAACGTGTAGGTAAAGGTGTGCCAAAAAGAGCTCTGCTGGTACGAATGTATTTGTTAGAGAAAATTCAGGGGTGGAGCATCTAGAGTGTTTGTGTGTATATGTAGGTGCATCTGTCTGTCATGTGTGTACTTGTGTGGGTGTGAGGCAGAGGAAAGGCAGGCAGGGACTCTGTGTGTGTGTGTGTGTGTGTGTGTGTGTGTGTGTGTGTGTATGCCTCATAGGCACAGTCTTGTAGATGTTTAAGGGACAGTAGGTATGTGAGGGGATGCAGGTGTGTTGGTCTGGGGAAAGGGCTATTATTAGTGGATATGTTATTTCAGCACACTAGCTGGGGGCTAAACTCAGCAACCAGAGAAACTCTTGGAAGAGACTCCAGGGACATGTTTTACTAAGAATGTCATTGTTTTCTAAATTGGCCCAGGCTGGAGCAGCAATTCCTTTTGCTGGACTGGCACTAAGAGGTCAAGTCACTTGCATGAAGACAGCCCCCAAGGTTGCTTGGTTAGAGGTCTAAGAGCTAGTGGAATCAGGTCCACTCCCAAAAGGTATCACTGAGGCATGGGTCCTGTGATCTGGCCTTAATGGAGTTCCCAGGTACACACAGTGTGTCCAGTGCAGTATGTAGCCATGGACAGGCAGGTGGGTTTCCCAGCCAAGTTCTGTGAAGACTTTCAGAGACCTCCAGACTGGGGAAGGAGTGAAGGGGACTAGGAGGGCAAGGCCCTCTCCCTGCTTCAACCAAAACAGTGCCTTCACACACACACCACACACTTACGTGCACACACACACACAGTTGTCTCTCCTTGTCTTAGTTCCAGGACCCTCTCAGATATCAAAATCCACAGATGCTCAAATTACTTATATAAGATGACATGTAATCTATGCAGTCCTCCCACATACTTCACATCATCTCTAGATTACTTGTGATTCCAAATACAATGCAAATGCTGGGTAAATAGTCGCTATACTGTATTGTTTAAAGAACAACAACAAGAAAAGAGTCTGTACATGTTCAGTACAGATGCAATTTTTCTTAGAATGTTTTCTACCCACGATTTTACACACACACACAAAAGAAAGAGCTCCAGTGCTAAACTATGGGTGGAAATCACCCATAGTGAGAGCCACTATGGTACCCTTGCACAGGGGGTAAACACTCCATCTACTTGGACTGAGGCCTAAGTCTGGCACCTGTTGTGTCTCTGGTCATTTCCAGTGACTCATTTTGTCTCTTTGATGCTCCCAGTCTTTGTCTGCAGTTTCCCAGGCCTGTGGTTCCTCCCCACCCATCTCCTTGTGTGTGAGGCCTTGCTGAACTCCTGCTTCCTTCTGGGAAGGAAGGACCCTCTCAATCAGAAGTGATGTCAGCCAGCATCTTTTCCCATTTTGTCCCTTTGTCACTTCATGGTGTCCATCTGCCTGTCCTGGAGCTATTTCTGGGCATGTCTCTCTCTTCTTCCTTGTTGTGAGCTCCTGCAGGGCAGTGTCTGGCTCTGACTCATCACTGTGTCCCCAGCACTCAGGTCAGGACCTAGCACTGATGATAGAGCTGAGTTGCCTGTGAACAACACAACAGAGGTAGAGTCTGTGATAGGTATCAAACTGTGTGGCTCAGACAGTGTTCTGTAGAAATGTGCATCTCCCCACTAAACCATGTGCTCCCTGATGACAAGAACTGTGTTTAAGTTATCCTATGACCCCAGCATGGCACTGTGTAGGGTTGGAAGGAAGAAAGGAGGGAGGGAGGTATGGAGAAAGGAAGTAAAGAAGAAAGGTAGGAAGGGAGAAGGAAAGAAGTCAAGAAAGAAGGGGGGAAAGGAAGGAAGAAAGGAAGGAAGACAAGAGAAAGAGGGAGGGAAAGAGAGGAGGAAGTTAAGAAAGAAGAGGGGAAGGAAGAAAAAAAGAAGGCAGGGAGGGAGGGAGAAGATAAAGACAGGAGGATGAATAGATGAATGCATAAGACAGGAAGGCAACAATGGACAGTGATCAGGGAAGGCTTCTGGGAGAGACTGGGGTGGAGTCTGGCTGCGGGGGAGTCCCTGGTCTGATCTGAGTCTCAGACATGTGCTATGGAGCATCCATTATTTAGTCCACAAGAAAGTGTTTCCTATATCCAGCACTTGGTTCTCCAGAGGCATTGACTCAGTTTCCCTCCCATTGTAGAATGGAACTCTGGCATCAAGGAGCCAATCAAGTGTCGAGAGAGCCTCTTTCTCAGCCAGTGGCCCCCAAGCCGGAAGGACTCCAGTGGTGAGGAGGGTCGCAGTGATCCAGTGGGCACCATGGCCACTGTCCTGCCAACCAAGAAGCCTACCTGGCAGGCTGAGAAGAATGTGCTCTGTGAGTTCCTTGGGGCCACGAAGAACTCAAGCAAAGTGGAGGTAGATGGGCTGGAGCTGAAATGTAAGTAGGTCCTAGCCCATCCTAGCCAGGAAGGATCTTCAGGGGAAGAGATCCTGGAGGACTTTATGGATCCAGGGGTGGTTCTGGCCTATCCATGAATGTCAAGAGGTTTAAATGCATAAAGTGGGGGAAATGAGTTTCTCCCTGTATTCCGTATTAGGAATACAAATTGACCACAGGCATTAACAGTGGTCAATATGGAATACAGCCCTGACCCAGAACCTATTAGAGCTTCTCAAATCGCCCACAACAAAGAAAAATCCATGCTTTTCATTTTTTCTAAATTGAGATTATTCACATCCTGCTTTCTCTCCTGCCTTCCTACACTGTTTTAGTCAAAACTCATTTCCAAAAAATGATGCCAACGAAGGGAACAAAATTGAGGACCTGTTTCTGATTCCATAAACCCACAGGATATCTTGTAAAAGAAGAGAATCCAGGATTCATATCTTGAAACAACTGAACCTCATTCTTTTAGACTAATTTTGAGTTCCTCCACACTGAATTATTTCTTTTTAAAAAATATTTAAGAAAATTATTATTTTTAAAATAAATTTTTGTTAGGATATATTCATTATGGGGGAGTGGATTCATAGTGACCGTTCTGATTAGACTTACATTGTACATTATTTACATTGCCCCCATCGTCGCCACTTAAAAGCAATTGCAAGAGATTTCTTAGTTCTATTTCATATGGGTATATGAAGTCCATCTACCATACATCTCCTTCCTTCACCCTCCCCCTTCCATTAGTTACCCCCCCCGCCACTGTACCTATTTCACAGTCCTAGTTTTCATTATTAATATTTAAGTTGATGTTCAAAGTGGGTGTGCTTCACTTTGGTCAGTTCTACCCCTTCTTAAGAAAATTATTGCTAGGCATGGTAATCCCAGCACTTCTGCTGAGGCAGAAGGATGGTTAGTTTAGGCCAGCAAAGGCTACATGATGGGACCTTATCTCAAAAATTTAAAAGAAAACAAAGGAAAGGGAAGAAAAGAAAAGCAGAGAAAATTATTCCTGTATAGGTGCTACAATCCATGCAAGGTTCCCAGTGTGGCTGAAGATATGCCCTTGTGGAATTATTTGATAAGAAAGAGTCCTAATGTCATAGCACTTGTTTGTGTAAAGCTGGATTTTTCTAAAGCACTTGAGGGAATTTGGTTTTATAAATAGGTGAAATAAAGCCTCAACAATCTGGTTTATTTTGTCCCTTGCTAAACGGCCTTGTTTACTAGTGAATGATAAAAAGAGAAGCTTGAACAGGCCCTGTTGGGATTTCCAGCCCTTCCAAATTGCCAAGGCTGTGAATTAATAAAGTTTTCCTGTGACTGGAAGTTCATCTGGACTTTGAGGACACGCTTGGCTTAAAGGATTTGACCCCTGAGAATACGAATCTCTGGGCATTTGTGGCCTGAAAGAGGCATCCTGGCCTCTCCCTGCCTCCGTGACTGACCACTTTCCCTCTCCTGTGACTTGCAGTTAACCCACCTGCAACCACTGCGGACAAGAACAACCTTAAGTACACAGGGAATGTCTTCACCCCACGCTTTGCTACCGCCTTGACCTCAACAACCCGAACCAGCCACTCTGGCTCCACCTGAATTGCCCACCTGTGCCAGTGTTCACGAGTCACTCTACCTACCAATATCAGGTGAGCAAGAGGACCCTGTGTCTCCCTCTGGCCACCGTATGGGTTCTGGCCAAGGTGGAGATGTGACTGGAAGGGAGCCCATTTCACAAAGAGCCTTCAGACATGAACGCCATCCCTAACTCCAGAGGCTTCATGGGAATGACAGTTTAACACTATCAACTTGTGAGCTCCCCTGTTGGTGTCTGCATGGTGACCATGCACAGGTAGTTCTAATTATGCATTGCCTGGAACTCCAGTTCACACCGTGCTGTTTATTCCAGAGCCCTGTGCTGGTTAAGTGCTTGGACTCCCAGAATAGGAAGCTGGCACAGCCCTTGTTTTCTGTCTGCTTCCTGTGACACCCTTTAAAGCTGGATGGCAAATATATCCTAAGTTACTTGGGGCAGTCCCAGATTAGGTCTTTTGTCCCAGATATCCTGTTTGGATGGCAAATTATGACAATTTCCTCCTTAAGCTATACCCAAGCAATCTTAGCTTGTACCATCTAAGGCAGCTGGGCACAGTCTTGGTCTGGGGTTCCTGGCTGCAGGGGAATTAGTGGTCAGACACAAACAGATGGTGAAACACTTGTACAGGATTGAAATTTTACTCACAGAACTTCTTATGCAGGGGAAATGCAGTTCCTTTATTTTCTCATTTAACTTAATATCCCTTAAGAGCCGCCGCCTGCTCGGTAGTAGGGGAAGAATCAAATAAATGTCCACTCTTGTTTAAGCCTTTGTCCAATCCAATAACTTAAGCAGTCCCTGTAGGTAGTGCTCAGTTTCTTCAGGAGAGATGCTCAGCATCTAAGATTTCTCAGTGTTCTGTTCCCCTTCCTGAATCCTCTCCACAATGGCACGGTAGTTTTATGGGCAAGTGTAGGAACTCAGACCTGTGCATCCAGGACTTTCACCTACTCTCGCAGCCTGGCCCTACAAAACCTGGGAAGGGGAACAGAAAGAGTATGCTAGGCACTCAGCTTTGTCTTCCCCATTTCGCTTCCATTCCCCTGCCCGTTGGTGTCCTGTGTCTTTCCTCCTTCACGCAGAGTGACAACCTTATGGCTTAGATGTCCTATGCAGAAAGGGAATCCTCTCTACTCCACATAAACACTCTCTGAGTTGTCCACCAGGCTCAGCTCCTGAATCTTAAAGGAATTTAGCAAAGTCTCTTTTTCAGTTTTGTGTTTCAAGCTTGTTTATTTGCTAAAGAGAAAAATACCTGTTTTCCCCGGTATGAAAAACCTCAGGCCCCACCACTGAGGTGATAGACTGTAATGAAAGGTGACCTAAGGGGAAAATTAAAGTGCATCAAGTTTCATATTAGTAACAGTATCTTTACATAGGCCTTGAGAGATGTGTCTTCCTGTTCATGACTCAGACTCCTTCACCAGTATTCTTCTACCCTTGCAATTTTTGGGCTCATTCTGACTGTTCATTTATTCATCTTCTCAGTGGACTTACTCATTTCTCTTTATTATTTACTCATTCATTTAAGTAATTTAAAACTTCTGCTCAATGCTTACTACAGGCCAAGCACTGTGCTAGGTGAGGAATTCAAGGATGACAAAGAAGCCAGGAATCTAGTACAAGATCAGGAGTACTCAAAGGGCCAGCAGAGGCACCTCCAGCTCTAAAGAAGCAATTGCGTCATTTTATTTAATGTAAACGCAGTTCTCAAAGTGCGTGTGTAGAGCTCACCATGTAAAACTAATTGCAATGGCTTGCTGTATTAAGAGGGGATGGTATCTTTCTGCTACTTGACCTTTTGGGATGGGTAAGATTTGGATGCATTTTTCTGAGTATGAAATTCCCCTGTTTTACATTGTAGGGTTGTTTATGGCGACATTCCCCCAGCTTCTGGCAGAAGGGGTGAAAGGCTCTGGCTTGGAGGCCCTGCTGGGTTCTGTGAGGCAGTTTAGAACTGAACGGGCCCAGCTGACAGACAATAGCAAAAGAGCATAATTTCATCTTCTCACAGCTTCTCACCATCCATAATGCTACCTGGCGTTTCAACAAGAGCTGAATCAAGAGGCCTGAAATATATAGGGAAAAGCAGATTTGGAAATCAGTGGACTAGTGTTAGGATTCTGATGCCTCCAAGCTGTGCAGCCTTGGGCAGATTAGTTAACTACTCTATGCAGTGGCAGCAGAATAGACTGATTTGGTTGTAAAGATAATTGAAAAAAAAAAGATAATTGAGCTCATGCATGGGCAGGACTCTGTAAAATCTAAAGTGTGATACAGATGTTGGATTTTATTAACATGCGGCCCTGGTTTTCCAAGAAAAAGGGTAAGGAGCTCTGCAGACCTTGAGGGGACTAGTCTATCCTAGTCTTTTCCCTGCTTGGCATTAGGAATAAAGATGAGGTCCCAAATCCCATTTTCTCAGAGCTCCATGGTGGAGGGACTCAGAGATGGGGAAGGCAAAGTCCCAACATGGAGGTGCCCCAGGTAGCAACTGGTCCTGCTTGGCATGAAGGCAGCTCCAGATTAAGAGCGAGGCCTTGTGGGGGAAGGCCACAGCCTCAAAGCGAGAAGAATGAGAGTTGCTGTGATTTTATAAAACCGCAATTCTAACAACTGGAACTGTCCCTGAAGTCAGATGGTGTTGCTCATACTGATGAACAGGGGCCCATCTCCTGCAAGGATGGTGCTGGTTGGCCCAGGATGGCCTAGCATTGGAGGAGTGGGAGTGGAGTCCTGCCTGCTGTTCTCGTGGCCTGGATTCATTCTTTCTGGCCATGGAAGGCTAAGTGCTAACGGAGCCAAAAAGGCTCCGAAAAGGGAAGGGGCCCTTTTCAACCTGTCCAGTAGTATTGTAGCTCACTGAGGACGGGAATAGGCCAAGTTCAGAAAAGGTAGGGTCATAAGGTGTGGCGAAGCTGCCCAGGCTGTAGGGCTTTGGGGTGGGGTGGTGTGGGCTCAGGGAGCTGGTGTCAGGCAAACAAGATGGTGGAAGTGGGAGAGCCTGAGCAACAGGAAGAGCTCAAGTGTCACTGCTCAGGAGCAGAGAGCAGGCTGGGGATCTGAGAAAATGTGTTCTCTTGGGACCTGGACAGCAGGGCACTAGAGAGCTGGGGACTTCCCCACAGGCTCCAGATGGGGCAACTCCCAAACATTTCATGAAGAGCCCATAGGCTGAGGGAGTCGGCAAGAGCTCAGTGTCAGCCACTGAGCATAGCCACGCCAAGCCCAGCATGGCAGCAGCATCTTGGGTGTAGAATGCTCTGGGAAGAGGTCCTTGGCTGAGAGACACTTTGGACTTTGAACTTCACCCTAGGCAAAATCTTTTTTTTTTTTTATTCATATGTGCATACAAGGCTGGGTCATTTCTCCCCATGCCCCCACCCCCCCTTACCACCATTCCGCCCCCTCCTCCCCCCACCCCCTCAATACCCAGCAGAAACTATTTTGCCTTATCTTAATTTTGTTGAAGAGAGAGTATAAGCAATAATAGGAAGGAACAAGGGGTTTTGCTGGTTGAGATAAGGATAGCTATACAGGGCATTGACTCACATTGATTTCCTGTGCGTGGGTGTTACCTTCTAGGTTAATTCTTTTTGATCTAACCTTTTCTCTAGTTCCTGTCCCTTTTCCTATTGGCCTCAGTTGCTTTTAAGGTATCTGCTTTAGTTTCTCTGCATTAAGGGCAACAAATGCTAGCTAATTTTTGTGTCTTACCTATCCTCACCCCTCCCTTGTGGCTCTTGCTTTTATCATGTGCTCGTAGTCCAATCCCATTGTTGTGTTTGCTCTTGATCTAATGTCCACATATGAGGGAGAACATACGATTTTTGGTCTTTTGGGCCAGGCGAACCTCACTCAGAATGATGTTCTCCAATTCCATCCATTTACCAGCGAATGATAACATTTCGTTCTTCTTCATGGCTGCATAAAATTCCATTGTGTATAGATACCACATTTTCTTAATCCATTCGTCAGTGATGGGGCATCTTGGCTGTTTCCATAACTTGGCTATTGTGAATAGTGCCGCAATAAACATGGGTGTGCAGGTGTAGGGCAAACTCTTGATTGGCAGGGTAGAGGCATGGTTGGAGATGGTAGGGGTCTTTGGCTAGCCCATCCCCACCTGCAGTTCCACTGCATGTGTATCTTGTGTCAGTGTATGGATACAAGGACACCCTCCTTCTCCTAGAGTTGTGAATAAAATTCCCATTTCCCTTGGTCTGAGCTGCCAGGCAGTCTTTTTGAGGGAGAGGGCAGTGGGAGATGATAGACAGACCTAACATTTACAGAGTCCTTACTATGTGTTAGGCACTGTTCTCAGCTCTTCAGATGCACGAACACACTTATCTGCACACCACCCCTCACCATGAGCTGCAGATGCAGGTGTATGTGCTGGCACCCAGGCTCACAGTAGCAGAAACCCAGAGACACTCATGGGGGCACAGCTGCACATTTGTACACAGACACATAAGACTGCAATAGACATAGATGCAAACATATGCAGAGGTACTCAAACATGGTTGCAAACCAACACACACACATACACACACACACACACACACACACACACACACACACGTGTACATGAACAGCTTGTGTCTTAAAGATATAATGGACTTGGGGAAACGTATTCAGAAAAGGCATGCGTACAGTGACAGAGATAACCTGGCTGTTTTCACAGGCTTTATAGACCTGATCACACAAAATTCTGCTGACAAGGAAAAAGACATTCAGAGAGATACAGTGGCTTGCCCAAGATCAGAGTAGCCACTAAGGGACTGGGCTGGGATCTAGGAACTAGTCAGGCTTCTTGAAACCCTTTCCTAAACACTCACCAAAATGTTGCTTAAGAGGGCTTTCCATGTGGTATGAGTTGAGTGGACCTCACCTGACCCAGCTGGCTTCAGGCATTGATGGGTCTGGCCAGCTGGGGGATATGACAAACTCAACGCCTGTTCACATTCAAGTGTGTGGGACACAGGCTGGAGCTGCCCGGCAGCTGCTCTCTGGTGGGAGTTCTTGCCAGCAGCACCAAGCCTTTCTCCCTTTCTCCCTAGGGCCTGTACCCACAGCTATGGGCAAGGATGCCCTACCAGCAGGCTGTGCACCCTCAGTTGGGGTGCTACTCTCGACCGGTAAGGAGGCACCTCCCTCCTCTGTCCCAGCACAAAGGCCTGGGTCAGAGAGCCATTGCTCCTTGTCCTTATCTAGCTGGTCACCAGCTATACTTTCTGGTCACCGTTGGCTCCAGAGTACAGACACGCATACCAGTGTGGGTGCTGAAACACAAACCAATGTCCATAGGTGATGATAACAGCTGTCATTTAGTGGAGCTCTTGGCATGCCAAAGCCTTCTCTAAAGGCTTTCCTTGCACTAACTCTCTACCCCTGCGCGATAGGTTATAGAGAGGAAAGTGAGACACAGGTGTAAAACATGTTCAAGGTCATAAGTTCACATAAAAATTAGGGTTTTGCTGTGTCTGCAAATAGCCTCAATGTCTCAGGGACTTTCAACAATGAATCTTTAGTTCTGTTTTCCAGGTCTGAGGGCCAGCTAAACTGGGTTGCGCATCAAGTTCAGGCCTGTTCTTGTATCTCTTCCTTGGGCCTGGATGAAGATGCAGGAGCTTCTGCTCCTCCCTGGTCAGTGGCAGGAGTAAAGAGGCCATGAGTGTAGAACTGGTGCATGGTAAACTACCTCCTTCCCGTTGGCCAAGGCAAATCTCCCCAGCTCTGCCCTCATCAGTAGGGCTGGGAAGTCATTCCTGTCATGTATGCTTGATACTTAAAATATAGGATACCCAGTGAAATTTGAATTTCAGATCAACACACAATACAAGTATGTCTCAAATATTGCATGAGACATACTTATGCTAAAAATGTATTTGTTGTTCATTATTTCACTTGTCGTCCTTTAGTTTTATTGCTGAATGGGGCGAGACTACTTCCACAGGTCGGTGGGATGACAACCCACTGGACAGTAACAGAGGCAGAACTGGCTCTGTCTTTGGCAGCCTGGTACTCCAGTCACTGTGTTTTACCACCTCCTAAGCACAGATACACAAAAGTGTAGTATCAGAGCCAGGTGTAGTGGCTCAAACCTGGGAGCTCAGCCTGGGATGCTGAGGCAGGAGGATCTCAAGTTCAAGGACAGCCTAGGCTTCACAGTGAGACCCTGTCTTAACAAACCAAAAACACACGCACGGCGCACACACACACACACATATACACCCCACATGGAGGGAGGAGGGAGAGAGAGGCCAGAAAGAAATATAGGTGCAGTTATTCACCTGAGCAGACATGTACAGACACACATATACCAACAGAAACAAAATGGATACAGAGGTTTGGGTCCACATTCCAGGTTGGTCAGTTGGTCTTGACCTCATCACAGGCAACAGACACCACAGCTGAATGTCAGACTC